TGTGTTTGTATATTGCCAGTATAGTCTGTATCATCATATATTTCTAATGTTAAATTTATTATTATTAAAATATAGATCATAATTTATTTTTTCTTCATGTAACGTATAATTCGTTTTAACTAGGTTTCAATATACCTACCTTTAATAGATTAGTTAAGAAATTACTTGCATCATTAATCGAATATGCTATAACTGGTCCCGTAACTTGTGATAAAAATAACAAACTTCTTACCGTTTGTCGATAGTAAATAATTCATTTATTTGATGTGATAAAACGTTTTTTAAATCAATACTGTTTGACCTACTTTTGGTACCTGTCGATAATTCTTTTACATCATTCAAATTAAATTTTTGTATGATAAAATGTGCGTAATTACTTTCATTAATAAATATTGAACTGCTTTTTAACTATAAATATTTATATCAAGAAAATAGTTCAATAACTCCGTTGTCATCTGAAATTATGTTTTGAACGCTGTTATTAGTTGCTCTATTGATTTTTTATTTTATACAACTATCAATTATTAACCCACTGTTTATAAAAAATAGCTTAGCTAAAATAATTTTATTATCCTTTAAATTAAATGTGAATACACAAATATCAGCTTCATTAAATTTGAAATTGAATTTACAAAAATATTTTGTAAATCTATTCTAATATCTCGGTGCTTGTTTTAATTTGTATGTATAGACTTTTATTTAGTTTACACACTCGATCTGTATTATATTCATACCTTATTGGTTACGTCATATAGATTTCTTCATCCAAAAGTCTGTACAGAAATTTAATTTAAATTTTTTTACCAAATTTTTTCAATTTGAGATTTTCATTCATTGAAATTAATAATATAGCCCTAACTGATTTATAACAAACTATTGGAGAAAATCTTTCTTTGTAATCTATTCCGTATTTTTGTGAATACTCTTTTATCATTAATCTATTCTTAAACCTATTAATATTACCGTTTTTCTTTATTTAAAAGCAAAGAGATAAAAATATATTTTAGTATATTGAACACACAGGCAATACAATAATGTATTTAATACAGAGTTTTAAATTTAATCATCTTCATACATTAATGAATAATGACCATATGATTCTGTTACAGAAAAAACGACTATGTAATTTACATTTGTAATAATATGTTTTTTTTTTTAGTTTTATTTAAAATAATTATTTATAACCTGTAATTTGTGTATAATAAACAAATTTGATAAACAATGACTTAAATTACACAAGTTAATTAAAATGAGGAGGTAGATTACCTATCCATTGATAGAACATAGAACCCTTCAGAGCATAATAATTGTATTAATTAAGGAGGTCTCTACACTATTGTCTTTTGAGACGACGTGGGAGTTATCGGGTAGTGTGCGTGAGGATAGGGGTGAGATGAGTTCAAAATTAGAATGATGTCGTAGTTTCACATGAAATTTGGCATAGTAATTTTTAGCTAGTTGGTCAACCGTGTCAATTTTTAAGTCTGTGTAGTGTTAATAACAAATTGACGCAACAAATATGCATTAAAATAAGGTATAATCTTATGTAATAATATATTAATTATATTTTCAACAAGTTGTTTTTACCATAAGGTTTAGCTAATCATTTTTTATTTTATTTTAAAAGATATTTGCCTTAATGATTAAGGTTTAATCTGTAGGATACAATTAAAATTGTGATAATAAATTAAAATAAATGTGATAGTAAATTGATTCATAAAAAAAGTTTTCCAGTAATGAAACTATTTATATTTGTATGTTAGTTATTTTATTATTATTATTATTATTTATTTATTGGTTTATAAGAATTCAACAAGATTTTTACCTTTTATTTGAATATTGTCCAACATCTCATTTTTAAATTTAATATAAATCAAATCTATTATTGATTTCAAATACATTTCCATTCTTGAATTTAATGGAATATAAATAGTGCCAATAATTACTAAAAAAAGTTTCAGTTTTCATTTTTTCAATCCCAGTGAAATTAATTTCATCTAGTTTAAATTATTTTTATGTAATATTGATTTTTTTGGTTGTAGATGTTAGAGCACAAAAAAAAGGGAAAAAAGTAATTTTTTTTTTGAAAATAGCCCACTATCGGTTTTTGCCGGTTTTTTTTTAATGAAATATTACGATTTTTTAGTTAGTAGAATGCTATAAAAGTCTGCATAATAGGTTAGAATGTTTGATGCACTGTCGCTCTACCTATTCATCATTCATGTAATTATTTATATAATTTTCGAAAATTTTACAACAAGAGGCCCCGAAAATCTGTTTTTTTTAAGAAAATCATGTTTCGAGCGATATCTAGGTAAAGAAGTAAGTTTTGAAGTTCGAAACTTCACATATACCATTAGACGAGGTGCCAGAAAACTATGAGCACAAAAAAAGAAAAAATATGCAATATTTTTTCTTTTATGACCCTCAGCCACCTGTTGATTTTTATTTTTGTTAAAAACCTAGTATTACATATTTTTTAGACTGTAAAGTGTTTTTAAATGTGTGATTTATGTAATTATGTGTATTTTTTAATACTTATGACAGGAATTAGACAATTTATAATATTATAAGTAGAACTTTAATGAAAGTTACAAAGTTAATATTGTTTAAACTAATTTTTTAAAATTTTCTTAAGTATTGAACTAAAAAAATATTCATATAAAACCATTTTTACTTTTTATTTTTCAAATAGGTAGCTTAAATCTTTTTCCGTTTTTCAAAATTTGCCACCTGGAGCAAATGCTCCTTTTGCACCTGGGTTACTGCGGCTCTGCCTACACAAACAGGAAAGCTTTAAAAGGGTTTATATTAGTTAATAGTTTGTATTATTGGCTTGTTATTCGTGTATAGTTTGTCACTATAAAGTTTTCGGTTTCGATTGGTATGAATTATAAATATTGAAAATAACTGGGGAAAAATGGCTCTTTTTGAAACTCCAGCTTCAATATCGTTATATTAGAAAAAGTAGTTCCATAATGGATTTAAAGTGTCAGTCATCAAGATATAATTTTAAGAAAATATATAAGTTGAGGGTAAAAATTTCTTAAATATGTATTACACTTCTTTGAATTATATTCTATTAAAAGTCGGCGATATTTAGAGGAAAATTTGCAAAGGTGTAAATTAATTTTTTTAAGAGTCAAAGAACCATTGAATGTTAATCTCCAATAGTGCGGAATAGTGTAGATCGGGATGATATAATAAGAACTTCCATGAATTAGATGTAATTTTGATTAAATATTTGATAAATTAAAATATTACTTATAATTTATTTTAGGTACAAGATCTTTTAGAAACGATCCAACATTGTAGAACGAATATTACTTTTGGTGGTTTTTGTGACGTTAATAGAGAACTTTTTATCAATGTAAGTTCCTTGTATATAATAGGTACACGAGTATTTATTTTCTTATATTTATTCATTATTATATTATATAATAATACATTTTTTTGAATATAAAAAATATTTTATTGACCAAAATTGATAAAACTAATATATATATATTATTATTTTTTTAGTTTATATTTGCTGTATTTTTTAACTTGGTTGTTGCATTTCAATCTCAAATAATTCCAAAACAATATACAATATCAGTTAGTTGAAGTATTTTTGTTAAGGTAAAACTATTAAAAAATCATAAATAATCATATGGGATAATTATATTCATAGGTAAGTATTAGCTTACTACTTTATCTAAAAGTTATTAATTATTGGTATTTATAGTTATTTTTACTAGATGCAATAGATGTATATTGTTAAAGATTTGCACTGCAACAGTTAAAATTATTTACATTTTTCGATAGATGTCTGAGGATTTATTATAAGTATTTAATTATCGTAGTCAAAGTATATGAAAATGTTGAAATTTATTATAATACTAAAATAAATCGTCTAATTATTTATTTAAAATAAAGTAATATAGGACATAGGTTTATTGTATTGCATAATACATTTTATTAGTTATTAAAATTAAAATATTATATTTAAATGTAATAATGTTTATGTTATTTTCAAGGAAGATATTTTAAAATTATATTAATAGTTACTGAATGGATTCTTTCTTTAGGAAGGTATACATTCACTATTATCACATTTATCAATTATGCTTGTGCTGTAGAACATATTATGTTTACAGATTGTATAAATCATTAATGCAAATATAGGTATATTTATTTATTAATAATTAATACTAATTGATTTCAAAGTTATTAAGTTAGTATATCCGTAATATGAAAATATGAAACATAAAATCTATATTTAAAGATATATTTGTTTCAATTAAAAATATGCAGGTTTAGTAAATATATAAGATTTAAATAGGAAATTAGAAATTAGATTTCATAAGTATACCATTTAAACTTATACATATATATACTTATTCATTTAACTAAGAGTAGCAAATCTCTATAAACAACATAAATATTATTTTAAAATTAATATCCTCCTGCTTAGAATTGTCATAAATAAGTTAATAACATTATAAAAAAAAAAAATTAAGAAGTAATGGTAATCATTAATTTTTTCGAGATGTTATCTGGATAATGTTTAATGATTCTTAGGGAAAAAAAACAAATCAATTTGTACCAATTTTACATACATAATTTATTAATGTACGTATTTTTTATTTATTTAATTGAAATGCAGTTTACTCGTCGAATTTTTATTACTTGAAAATAATAGCTTTTTGATTTTGTTACATGTATGCACTTACCCATATAATTTTAGTACCCCTTTATTTCATAAGTATATGTAATTTCACCAATACCTATCACTTTTTATACATGACTACTAAGTACCGGTATTTAATTTCAGCAATAAATGATGATTACTTATTTACTTATTGGCTATTATATATTTATTATAAGTCATCGTAAAGATATTGCACCACCCGATATCCCACTACCGCCACCGAAGTGTTTGCTTTCTACTCGCGGAAATAAGAAAAAAAACTATGGCAATTGAGTGGACACCGCCTACTAATACTATAACTGCAGCACTATAGACTGCAAACGTGTTGCACACCATCGCACTCGTAGTGGTGACACGGTACTCGACTCGAAGTGACGGACCAGCAATCGTTGGCTGCGAGAACGGCAAGTCGGTGTAAATATGCAACTACGGTGGTAGTAAACATTTTTGAAAAATTGTTTTTTACACGCATTTAAAGCGGAATGTCGTAAAATAGTATATTAACACTGAGTGCCGTAATCGTCAGTTATTTTCAATTATACGAAGTATTTTTACACAGTGTTGTTGCAGTGTATCTAGACTTCAGCCGGCCGAGGCGAGCAAACTTCTCTGGTAAGTCGTCGTTCGTTTAAAAAAAATTCAAAATCTATTTATATAAATATCTTGTGTAGTGTGTAGTTTATAGAATATACAATGTATTTTGAGTAAGTGACTCCGAGTTATATATGTTCCGACGATCGATAATCTATTAAAATCGTTGTTTTCTATTTCAAAAATACTACGCTTATTATACTATTTAATAATTACTTTTCCTGGGTATCCATTAATTTTTTGAAAATAAGTGTACCTACTGCAGATTTCAAAAAATCTGACATAACGGTTAGCAGAATCTGTTTTTTCGGTTTCGCAAAATTTTTTATAAATTTCTAAACGTAGGTAAACATACCTATTTATTATACTGGACACTAGTTCCTTAAAAAAACACCGAACCTTTTTTAATTGTACGTGGTTTTTGATACGCGCTATTGGTTTGTGATTAATATTTTATTCGTTTTGAAAAATTGTAAGTTTCACGTTTTGAAATCGATCATAATGATTATTTATGTCAAATAGTATGTGCTTCAAATTTACAAATATTTACGGATTGATTGGTGTAATAGGTAGCAATTATTCTTAATTGAGAAAAGTCTGCAGATTATACACATTGTAATCAACATCTGACTAGAAAAGTTTATCATTCATCGTACTTTGTTATATAATTCTTATAAAAGGTCATAGTATTTAAGTAATTTTTAATAGTAAAACGTTAATCTTGGTTTTAAAGATATAGGTATTTTGTATTTAAAAACAACAATAATAATAATATAATAACAAAAAAAAAAGTATTGTAGTTTCTGTTTTTTTTTTTTTATATATTATTACTTATAACGTATGATATCCGTGATGAAAATTCGACACGTTGTTTCACCACTAGTCACGGTGGTGCTATTTCATAATACAAGATACTTGAAAAATACTTTAAGAAGGTACACTTTAAATACTAAATTACGCATGTTTTGTGTGGAAATTTGAAAAAAGCGATATTTTTTAAACTTATTTATTTTTTTCTCAGGTTTTTCAGAAATAAAAAAAATGAACATATATTTTAAGCTAATGGTAAAAAAGTACTTGTATATCCGTATCGAATTTTAGCGGGAAATAAAAATAATTTGATTTTTTTACTGTTTTTACTATTGAAGATTATAAAAGATGTTATTAACTACATAATTAACATAGAAACCAATATTTAATATTTCATTAATGCTCAATTATTTCAGTTTATAGCCCTTTTGAAATACAGCTATAGTACACATTATGTTGCTGAAATAACTTTATTTTTAGGGTGTAAAAATCTGCACTGCTCGAAAATGCGGTCAGTGCAGACCACACAACTATAATGTATCTCAGGATATTTGTAAAATATAAATTATAAATGAATAATTATATTATCGACCTTAAACTAAAATAAAAATGTAATTGGAAAAAAAATTAAATTTCTATTACTACCAGTTTTTTTTTATTAGGAATAAATACTACATATTATAGTAGATAATTGCGAGACAATTAAATTGGTTCTCATGTACAGGTGTTAATATTTTATCCTTAAAAAATAGTTTTGAATTTGCTTCCAAAAATTGATCATGGAATTATACCTTTTTTTTCAAAAATATATTGGTTACCAAAATGTATTAACTATTTAAAGTTAGGCTTTGATCTTAGAAGTTAAAGCAGTTGCGAGTGTTGCGACATGGTCACATTCAAAATAAGCTAATACGCATTTATATAATTCTTAATTGTAATACATAGTTTACAGTATCACGATCGTATATTTTGTTTAGTTACATCGATAATTATATTTCATAACAAATATTTTTTTCTACACAAAATTATTTAATAAAAATATTAAAAAAATCTCACAAGAGTGGTGAACAAATAATAACCAAATATTTAACAGAATAATCAAAACATAGATAATTATTAGCTGAACTTATCATTTTTATGTGTACATAAATAAGTATATTGTATAGACTATATTTAAAATGTTTTCTTTTTGTAACTTCTAACTACTCAGTTCATTTTATAATTAAATCATGTAAATATATTTTTTAAGGGTTTGCTTATAAAAAATAAAAATAAATTTAATATTATATTTGTATATATATACAAAGATTCATAATTTAAATAAAAATAGTTTATTTATCTACTAAAAATCGCATTTTACTAATACAAATCATAAAATTAAATGCGTATAATATGAGAATATGAGAACACTTTGCTAAACCATAAAATTTTATGATTTTGGGGGCTAATTTAAATAAATATTTTTCGAAAGTCAACTTCATACTTCATAGCCACCAATATTTGTATGTATGGACCCAAATTTTACTTATGCAAAAAATTGGAAAATATTAGAAAGATCTGCGAGATTCAAAGTTATAATAGAACAGCGGGTGTTTAAAGGCATAAAAATATTTTAGATTCTTATAAAAGAATATTTTATCAGCCATTCCTATTATTATTGGACCCTAACAATTATCGTTGCGAAATCCGTTTGCAGGTCATTAATTATACTAAAATAATATAAAAATACCTACTTGCAGTCTAGTGTATTTAGATATTATATTATTAATGAATGCATGTTTGTTGCGGAATATTATTTTATTGTGTAAATTTTTATGTTTATGTATTTTCACTCTACCAGAACAATATACTGTAAGATAGTTACATAGATGGTATAGTATCTGGCATGGATTTATTTTAATTTATTAACATTATATGCTGTATTTTATTACCAAATATTTTATTTATCATAAGTAAAAAATACAAATTTTATTTAAGGCAAGTGATGTGTCTTGTAAAACTCTTGATTTTCAGTCAAGAATGTTATACTATCATTATTTATAGTTAAATTAAAATCGTTTTAAGTTAAGCCATCTAAACTAGTTGAACTATCAAATAATGACATTATATCATTTAAATTTAAATATTATCAGAAAAATATAACATTTAATTACAAGTATAGTGGTATGTAATAGCAGCTGGTGACAAGACATAAATAAATATTTTTTATTAAAACTGGATTTGGTGGATAAATTTACTTTCATAAAAAGTCGTTTTAAACATGAAATTATATTTATATAAAATTTAAATTATTTAAACTATTTTAAGTTGAATTTTAGAGAATTTAAATTTAGTGTAAAATTGCATAATGTATTGATACATTTGAATGTAATTTTTAATACTCGTGCATTTTTTTGTTTACATACTAATAAAGTAATATATAATAATTTATATGTATATTAAGCATTTAGCTGCAGCACCAGAAAATTCATATATGTTACTACTGTGATGTCTTTAAAAACATACGAAATAATAATTTGTTAAATTTAGTTGTGTGTAAATATTATAGGTAGATAATTTTAGTAAAAAAATAAAGTTGAAATAAATAATCATAATATTATTTGTTTAACATTATTTTCTATTTAAATAATATATTATAATTTATATTATTTAATTTATTTATATAGGATATATATGCTTCACTAATTAAATGTTATACATTTGGCATTTTACTCGAAGTTTCAATTTTTTGTTCAGGGATTAAGTTTATCAGTCAATATTTAAATTTTTGAAAAATATTATTTTTCTGTAGTGAATGAAGTCTTTAAATGTATAAAATACTATAAGCCATAATATTATATTAAATTTCTATAAATACCTCCCTACGTAATTTGTTTTTCCTTATTATTTTATCAGTATTTGATTCATTAGAACCACTTATCTTAATAAAATAAATAGGTCAATTATAATTTGTAAGCAATCACAGTTATATTTTATATGTTTATACATTTTCTTTATAAATATTTCTATAAAGTCTATTGATACGAATATATTATAATTCATATCCTTTCACCCGGGTTAATATGTTAAAATTCGTTTATCGCTTGCAAAATTATTATTAAGTTAAATTTTCTTGTAATAGCTAGGTGTGTTAATTTATAATACGCATATTAATTTATTGTTATTGAAATATCAATAAGTAGTAGGTGTCCATGCTATCAATATTTCTTATTAAATAATATTATCGGTGGTTTATTATTATTATTACATAATTTAATTTTAGTATGTTAATGTTATTCGTTATAATAATGTTGATAACATAATAAACTACATTTTAAAAGCTTTATGTTTATAATATATAAATATTGGTTATTATTTATTCATTGTAAGTAATATTACAAAAATATGCTGATATAAAAATATGTATTTCACTGGATATTATATTTGCTTATAGCACATGGTTTATATTTAAATATTACATAACATTTCAAATTTGCGTGTTAATTTACCTTTAAAACTTACGAGGTACATTGTACATCGTATCATAAATTCATAACGGGGTCATACCATATGTTTATATGCTGTTTTCCATAGTTATATTTGAAAAATTTTTGAAGTCTTTAAAATATTACTTTATATTTTATAGTAATATTAAAATGTTTATTAGATAGACACCTACTCCATTAGGAAATTATACTATGACGTGTTATGTTTATGCGTGGAGAGCCAGATTTAGGGGGGTATGGTGTTTAAACACAAGGGCTCCCACAAAATTCAATTAATAAGAGACCCTCACAAAATAAGTACCTTAAGCAGTAAGTTTCATAGTGTTTTTTTTATGTCTTGAGTTATTTGCTAAAAATATATTTTTTTTTCTTAAGTATTAAGATAGCAAACGAATTATTATTAGATTGATATTGGTAATTTTTTACCATTTCTGTTTGATTATTCTTCTTCTTGTTTGACACATCAGTGTCGGGTGACGCATTATTATTATAATAGTAATTTTTATTTCAAAACTAATATTTTTTCCTCAAGTGGTATAATAATTAGTCAACAATATAAGTCAGCTAAAATGTTTTAAATTGTGATGACCCAGAAAGCTTAAATTCGACCCCGCATATATGTATAAACAATCGGATAAACATACAATTTATATCTACTCTTTATATACATATCCGTTAACGTAATCATTTAATATTTTTATCAGTATTACATTACTATTAGATATAACTTTATGGTCTAAGTCTGCTTATATCTGCTATAATATATTTACATATTATTATGCTTTCTGTGATATCACTTAATATTTTTAATATTAAGTATGAGTAGGTATTAACTATAAACGGAAAGGAATAAGAATTAAAAACAAGACACATGAACGTGAAAGTTATGGATTATGTTCGAATTCATATGCGATTGATATACAAAATTGGCAAATTACAACGATAATTTTATTTATACCTTCGTAATACGTTATGAATAAAAAAAAAATACGATGTGGCTACAAATTTATAAGTATCTACATTTAGACTACATTATGTTTTCCCAAATCTAAACGTATAATTTATAATATATTTAAATTAATAATTATGTAATTCGACATTAATATGATTATGTCCGTACCTTTTCCATTTAAGTCCATGGTGGTGTGGGGACACCATTAATCGATACTTGTAACCTATTTCATTATACCGTTTTTCTATAATATTATGTTTATTAAATAAAAGGAAACTGGAAAATACAGTAAATCATTATCAGTCCTACATAAAGAAAACACGTATGTAAAAGACTCATAGTGTTGTAAATTTAAAATTGTATTAAATAGTTATTTATATCTTTTACAGTGAAAAATATTTTAAGATAAACTAAGGAACAACAATATAATACTTATTAAATCAATAGTAAAATAGTACTATCTAGTCAGTATCTACTATCTATAGCATTTAATCGTTATCATACTGGGTTTTTAACTATTGTTTGTTTTTGAATATTATTTTTTATTCAAGAGGTAACGAGTATTAACGAAAATAAATATAAGTAAGCAAAAGGTATATCGTATATTATGTGTACACAGATTCGAATAAAATTATAATGTTTAAACTGGGAAATATTTTTTTCTATTGATGGGAGTTCAATACTCCACTACAAAATATAGGATCTGAAATCCTATGTAGGATTCTTAATACGGATTCGATGATTTTATATAGCTGCGTTTAATATTTATTATATCCGGCTAAAAATGAAGAAATAAAAAGTTTAATATTTATTATGTTAAACAACAATGCGGCTTTTACATTAAAATCACTACTATTTATTAATTCCTGTGTGAGTATTCAATTTAAAACAATTTAGGTATCAAGTTTTATCGAGAAAAATTAAATTAATTTTTTTTTATAAGCAATTCTTTTACAAAAGCACTTATATTTTAGTGTCCGGATCGTATCATTATTATAAAAATAACCGTTTTCTGTAAAAATGAATATCCATGTTTTTATATGGTAGTTAAAAGTTCTGTACCGAACGCTTATTGTTTTTTTAAAAAGGTAATTCCAATATTTTGCCGATGCATATTGCATAATTATTTTTATCAATGCATTTTTATTTTATAAATGTATTTTAAAATGTAATTTTTATCAATAAAATTCCTTTTTTTAAGATTCGACTAAAACTTTTATTTTAGCGATTATCTAATATAAAATATCACCTTACGCCATTGGAGTACGCCATCTTTAGGAATTAAATAATGTTTTATCGGTTGCATTCGAATTGTTCCTAACGTTTAATTTTGCTCGGCGGAGACAACTAATCTATACCTACCTTTATCTATTGTGTATAAAATATGTACAATATATGCAACAAATCGTCTGTAGTCTTTCCTGGTGTGTGTCACTAAAAATAATGATTATTACTGTATTATAGCATTATGACAACAATGAGTCCTGCAGCGTTGGTCATGTACAACGTGTCCGAAGATGCGGAATATTACACGGATCTAACCACGGTGGTTCAGAGGGATGTGGTAGCGGAACTTGAGACCGTCTCGCCAGTGTACCCCGGACGTTTGTTGTCCGTCGACTACCCGTTTGCGATCAGCAAACAATCGACGCCCACTACTACAGCCATCATTGATTACGCCGTTCGAAACGTTTCCGTGGCCCTATGTCATACGCCCAGTGGCATACCTTCGGTCGACGAATACTTTACCGGTAAATATATAAATATAATAGTGTAATTATATTTTCACGTTAGCATTTAATTTGTATTAGAGATGTATAGGTAAATGATCAAAGAATTTAATCATTAGCATTTGTCACTTGTGATTAGGTATTCCGCTTGTGCTCTTTACGTAGACCTTATATTATTAGTATAAGGTCTATAATTGTATAAGACATAATATTACCCACTGATGTTATTATACTGTACATCACTGCAGTATATGTTTTACTAGTTACTATCTACACAGCTATTCTACAGGCAACGCTAGTCTAGTAGTATAAAGTATATGACTTTCTATCACCCTGGATCTATCTCCCTGGTGAAAAAATATCATTATAGGTGATAAAACATTTGGTAATTTTATTTTCCTTGCTACGAAGTCTGCAATATTATAGAGTTTGTGTACGCCTAAAAACCTCGCAATACACATTCAGTACCCATGCCTAAAATTATACATTGTCAATCGATATATAAATATATATATATATATATATATATATATGTGTGTGTGTGTTTTACGGATTATTAATTACAAATTTAGAAATATTTTCAAAAAATGATTTCTATATAATATAAATATATGTAAACATATATTCACATATTTTGATAGACTAATTGGTTTTTTGAAATTCAACATTAGTTTTCTAAACCATTTAAATCAGCGTTTCTCAAACTGTGGTTCGCACGTGTACCGGAGGATCCGCGAATGTAAATTGAAAATACTATATTACATTATTTATTATTGATTTTATTTTTATTTTTATAAAGGGAGTTTGGCAGAAAAAAAGTTTAGGAAACGCTGATCTAAATCGTTGATGAAAGATACAAGCAATATGAGGTTGAGTGGTTGTATTAACTTATAATATTTATTGACTTAAAATCTTAACTATTTTTGGCGATTATCCTAAGCACAATTTTGGCGAGTAATTAATCATTTATTGTATAGGTACACTACTTTAAAGATATCTTTTCATTTAATTCAATATCATCAGAGATTTTTCTCTATATTTAATACATATGTTCAATAAAGCATTATCGTTAAAGAGATTCAGTTTTGATCAAAGACCTTATAGTAGAAGGTGAAGGTCTACAGTGGTATGAATCAATTAATTATTATGGGTATAATACTTGGATATATACGCAATATTTTAAATTACAATATAAATATTGAGTGTATTGATATTAATAGACTGAAATTGTACTTAAAATTATTTAATAAATAATACTTATATTAATCATGTCGCTATATTGTTGTCGCGTTGAGCTATCTATTGGTTTCAATTAGTCAATCTAAATAATAATGTGATAGCATGAAGTGAAATCCATCAAAAAACATAATTAGTGGCAAGGCGCAAGTCTTTAGTTCGGGGAGACGTTGAATAAAAAATCATGTTATATCTCCTTACTTTACTTTAAATATATTATCAAAATATATGTTTAAAAACTAAAAACAAAATGAATTATATTTAAAAACGTAACAACTTTTATAAAAATAACCGTATTATAATAAAATATTTTAAAAAATGAAATGTGGTACCTATACTTTATATGCAAACCACATTAATACGTGAACATGTTACAAAATAATTAAAAAAAAAAAGACATTTATGTTAATTGATACATTAAATTAATTTTTCTATTTTTGTTTCTGTGAATTTAAGTCGCTGATTTTATCAATAAATGTTGGGTCGATGGCTAATTCGCTTAAGACGATGTTAACGCACTGTTTTGTTTTCTTTTTCTGGTCCACGTAAAAACATGGCCAAATGCATTTACGTAGAATCATTTTTTTGATATTTTTGAGTTATTTTAGAGTAAAACCACTTATAACAAAAATTATAGAGAATAATGTTTTTGTAATATGCGTTTTTAGTTTATGATAACTCAAAAATATCAAAAAAAATGATTCTGGGTAAATGCATTTTGTTAATATTACACGGGGCTAGAGAAAGAGAACAAACAGCGCGCTGACATCCTCTTAACATTTTTTCTCAATGGTTATAGTAGACGAATTTGAGAATCGATTTTCCGTCAGCTGTCGTTAAATTTAGTAAGGGATACGGTCTTTTATTTTGTATTTCATATTTTTTCTCGTATGCGTAGTTTACTATCCCATCATTCAAAATGTCATTCATTAAATCGTCAGACATATTAACAAATAATAATAGTATAATATTTTAATATTTAGATATGGATATCATACTAGAAATAAATAAATCGCAAAATAAAAACTAACCAGTAACTATTATAACAAAATTGCGACGAACTATAACACGAAAACGTGACAAGCAATGACAACGGTTGCATTAATGTATTGATGTATTATAAAACGAAATAACATTAATAGAAACGACGATACACGTCTCATAGCGCAACGATAATGTCCACTCAATAAACGAAGTAGACGTTGTCTTGATTGTCTCCTATAACGTTTCGCCACTAGACATTACCGTTATTACTCGTTGGTTATTCAAGGAGAATTATCACTAATTTCTTTTTATTTCTGCGATAAATTTATCAGGAGTAAAAATAGAGAACATATTTTTTATTTAAGCAGAATTAGTGTTGAATATTAATTTTAAATGAAAACGTTAGTGATAAAGTTTGACTAGGATATGGAAAGTCATAATTTGTAAATCTTTGCATAATGTTATGTAGTTAAAGTTAGTTAAATATCATTGGGCGTCAGATGCCAGTAATAATATATATGTGTAGAAATACATTAAAAAAAATTTGAATTGGATGAATGTTAAATGATTTGGTTATGAACTTCAAATTTGAATATTATATGATCAAACTAGTTTGTTGAGTTTAGTTTTAAGATTTAATTTGGATTTAAGAAGATAGTAAAATTGTACAGTTTGGGAATTAATTGGTTAAAGTTTCTGGGTTAACTATTTGGTTAATGTTATTCCAAGATATTTTGTTTTGTTTTGTATTAGAATATTTATTTTATTGATTTAAATTTCGGGGAATTTAAAATAACTAGTTTGAAGTTATTTGTTTAATGCATGGAAAAGTTTAACAAATCGGAGATGCTACTAAAGTATTAGCAAGATTGCATGTATAAATTTATATACGAAATGTATTCGAAAAATAATATTTTATCAGAGAAATTTTTTTTTAAATTGTCTGCATACTTTGTTTACCGTTTATGGTAACGAATTTGTCTTTATTTATAATCATATATGTATGATAGGTACATTTTCAAGTTTTGTTCAAATATTTAATATAATATGTAGGTACTGTAGAGTGTAGATAATTATAATAAATCCAATGTAGTTGTCTGTAGTGTTGTACAGCAATACAGCATCGATAAAATTGACAGCCATCATGATCATGCCTAAATATTAAATAATAACCATACGTATATGAAGGTAGTGAGTATATTTATGTACAACTCTTATAATATCGTCATCGAATCTTGATGGAAAACCAAAAATAATGCTTTGTTATCATGATTTGTATACATCAATTTTTTTTATAAAAATAGAAAACTGTGGGTGAAAAAAAGAAATTTGTTGCATAACTAATGCGTTTAAATATATATATTATATGTATATAGGTTTGCACGTAAGATTATATTTTTTTTTCAAAGATCGTGCAAATTCTTATAACTTTTGCACGGTTTGCGGTCGTTTGGACACAGAATCTCAAGGTTTCAAGGTTTTTGTAGCTAAGGTGACTTTTTCTTTGTGTGTCCAATTATATACACATAGTTTTTACATTTCAGCTGGGTTTTTTTGTTATAATTTATAATATAATACTTAATATAAATACGAAAAAAATAGTATGGTACCTACTTAAAGTGCAAACATCATCATTTTTATTAATTATATTTATTATTGATTTTGTAATCTGATCGAATATAATATAGGTATTACCTCAAAGTATACTTAACAAAACAGGTATTTACAATCATGTATATATATTATTACATATTGCCCACTTATATCACAAACACGTGCGTTGAAATGCGCCAAGAGGAATGGTCAACACTGTGGTGTTGTAGTGGACAGACCACTTTCTCTGTAATATCTGTTTCTTTCTATCTCTCTCTCATTCTCTTTCCTTCTAAAATGTTTTGTTTCTGTTTTTGTTTTTGTAGATATAATATTTACTACTGCATATACCATATTACGTCATATAGGTACACCCATTAAAGAGCAGAGTATCAGACTCTCGCCTTGAACTATTTATTTTATAGAAAGCAGTAAAGCATCCGGAAAACTAAAATATCCTAACGAATAATAATCTACGTAACGATGAATATATAATACCGACAATAATGATAAATTATTTTTAAATTAATATTTTATTTTTTTTTTTTAAGATTGTGTTACTTACATTCTTTTACATAACGAATCGAGTTAGTATACGATGATATGTTATCTTACTAACTATGATCTATGTTTCGAAGTGGCGACCTTATTATACAGCACTCATCTAGTCCCATCATGAACTCTCTTTCCGCGAAAGAAAATACGTGCAATTAATATTTACTAAATTGTATTATTATCTTATAAATTATATTATTATAATGACTATATGGAAAGATATATCAGAATCTGATTAGGATTCAGTCAGAAACATTGATTTAATCTACATATTATTTTTTTACCAAATGCACACACATTTTTTATTTTTAAATTGTTCTTAATCATTTTCTGTATTCCTCTCTGCTTAAAATTTTAAATCTATGCATTTATAATCAGACGATAAATAAAATCAATTATCATATGTGTATATTTTTTTAACAGCATATTATATAATCCTATATTATTAAATATTCCGGATGTATCTATAGACATTATGTCATTATAATATGTATGAATCCGTAAAGGTATACATGTTGATATCTTGTCAGTTCAAAATTTAGTTTTTTTTTATTAAAGTAATGAATAAGTTTATGCAGTTAGGCAGTTTGGAAATTATATAATTATTATATTTGTTCGAAAAAAAATTAGTTGAATAAATTTAAATAACACATCTTGTATAGTATATTTTAGAAAGTATTAGGTATATTAAGTATAATAATATATTATATATACATGTAATAAAAATATTATATAAGTTAATATTTTATATTATTATATTTATATTTTAGTCATATTTTATAGTTTTTTTTTTTTTACATTAGATGTACCTTATTATATTTATTTTGTTAATTTATAAGTGTTCAACTATACCCCTATGAGCACATCTGGAAATTTTTCTGAGGGCCGAAAGGTTTGATTTTACTATATATAATACTAATTGATATACAATGTATTGTATATAATATTATATATATACCTTTTAAATGTTTTTACTTAAAAAACCATAATTCATAGTTTTTAATCACAATATATATGATCAAAAAACCAAAAATATTTAAATTTTTTATTGTTAGTCATGAGTTGGTTGACCAGGAGCCGATTAAATTTATGGTACTACCTGCTTTTTATAATAATATAAGCAATTATATGAATACATGATTTCTATATAGGCTGTAAGCCTGTAACTTGTAGTTAGTAAACAGCCATGTATAAAGTTAGGTACCTATAAACAATATGCATTTATATATTTATTTATTTATTTATTTATTTAGAATGTGTACGGACAGAGCCCTTTTATAGATTGAACGTAAGAATAACACGAGTTGGTAATGGCTTACAAAAGAAAAAAAGAGAAATATATGAAATTCTTAAGAATAAAGATACAATTAAACTAAGAATAAAATTTAGCAACAAATCGTTATCATTAAAAAAAATTTATAAAATATGATTTTAAGAGTATAAGAGTATACAAGAAAAAACACACAAATGAAAATTATCAAAATGTTAACTAAGTAGGTAGTTAAAAAGGAAAGTGGAATATATATTCCAACAATTTCCTATACTTATAACTTATGTAGGTAGGTATATCATTCATATTTCTTCAATGAATCATACTACTCATGTTAAATATACTTTTTATTTAATATTTTTGTTTGAAAATCAACTGTAATTTTTTTTAAATCGCAGCAATAAAGGAGATATTCGTATTATACATTTTCTATTTAAACCTTATTAAACATCAAATGTCTTTACCACTTTATATTTTCAGTACAATTATGTGGCTGTTAGCTTACGTTTCAGAAAAAAAGTTCAGTACTAGGAAGTTGTTTTAATACTGTGCACTATGCATAAGTTTCTGTTTGCTTTGAAAATGATAAAAAATGAATTTTACTCTCTACACAATGTGCCTACCTATCTGCAGTTGTCAGTTTTAAAAACAAATTAAAATTGCTATAGACGTGTGACGTTTTAATTAGATTTATTGATGTGTTTGTAATTATATAACTAGATTAGTCGTTGGTTGCTAAATACACAGACCATGTACGACGTATGAATAAGTATATTTATACTTTCTATTTGATTGAAATTTTGAAACCAGTAGGCAATAATACACGGTTAATCAAATCTAAAATTGTGTACACTATACGTCTATACCTATTCATACAAATTTACTTTTCGATTGACGATTTTGATCATTAAAATGTATAAAGCGTTTGTAAAATAGAGACAAAAACTGTTTGATGCTAATTAGTATTTCGCAATACTTATATATCTCTATACAATCATTATAGATTATTATTAGTGCCTATATTAGGCCATACGTTTATATAATATATAATTTTTAATGAAAAAATCAACTTGGAGATGTAATGATTATATAGTTATATTATTGTGGTTTTGTATAGTTTGGTTTTTATTTTTGTTGTTTTAATTGGAGCATTCTCTTGGTAGGTAATAAAAAAAAAATATGCGCATCTTTCAACTCGCATATTTTGTTTGCCCTGATCAAGGTCACAACTCTGAAATTTATTACAAAATACACCATAATGATTATTTTTTATTTATTTTTTACTTCTTTCACGGTCCATTTCCATAGTATGATCTGATGCTGCACATCTTTTAGAATATAACCATCGGACCATAACGTATAACATTATTATATAATATTAATATTATATTATAAGCGTGTGTCTTGAATAAATTCCAATTTTTAAAAAAAGTCGAATCTAAGAAACTTAATGTAGTAATTGAATCTTGGTGCCTACCGCCTGCAATCGTTTCTATACTTAAAAAAATATTGTTGATGATGAAGATTTACTTAATTATAATATTTTAATAAATGCTTAATTATTTTTTGTTCAATGTAGCTATAAACCTGACGGGAGTGACGATATTCACGGTTGGTGCAGCGATTGTGGTTATGATCCTCTACCTGTATGTGGATACTCTGAGGTGTATCATTAAAAACGCGCCACCTATGGTTAAAACTCACTCAGCGTTTATACTTAGTGTATACCCGGTAAGTCGCAGTCCGTGCATAGTAAACATTTGCTATATAATACACCAATGGCTACTCCAGTCAGAGATCAGATTGTTTACTGGGGTTTACTTACCTCCGATAATAATTTCATAGTGAAGCGGTACTTAATTATTTAATATTTGAATTTAATTTTGATCTAATTTGAAGTTTAATCTTAAGCTCTATCTGTCTCATCCTGGGAGTAACTATTTTTTATTAATACCTATAAAACCTTCAACTAGAAGTTCAATATCCTTGATTTTTTGTTATGAAAATATTATGTTTGATATTATTAACTGTTGTGTTTTCTTAGTTTTATGTATTATAGTTTATAATACAATAGGTGATAACAAATATAATAACCCTAATAATTAATGAATTATAAATATTTTGAACATTTTAAAAGAAATTCTGATCTATTTTATCTATTTTAATGCATTAAACAAATTCAACCAGTCGATTATATTACCGTATAAACTGCTTTGGCTAAAGTCGTGGTGGTAGGGGGTGTTAAAGGAGTTAAATGTAAATTGATGCTGAATGTTGCTAATTTGCCAATTTTTTATTTTGGCCAATTCTCGTATCTCATCACGGTTTACTTTACTGGTAATACGAGTATCATGATAGTCAATGTGACATACAATCCACATATATGTATATATATAATCTATATCCCCGATGGGGGATGGTAGGTACTAATTATTTATATGTAGCACTAAATTAATTTTCAGACATACCTTATAAGTTATTGGTTCCATAAATAAAACCAACTAGAGATGCTATTATTACAAATCAATGTCACAATATAATATATGGTATAAATATCTACCTCACCACATGTTAAGAAATTGTGACACTGCTATTATATGTATATACTATTATATACCTATTATGCATTTTTCATCTAACAGGTCGTTGCAGTGGCCACTTATTGCGCAATCCTAGTGCCTAGAGCCCACCTGCTTGCCGAAGCTATGACTCAAGGCATGTTTATGGCTTCGATGTATCAGTTATTCTGTCTGTTCATGGCATACTGTGGTGGCGAAGCCAATCTCATCGCTTCCGTAAAACCACAATCATTGGACATGCAAGTGCCACCCTGTTGCTGTTGGCCGTGTTGCTGTTTTTTGCCTAAATTCACGCTTACCAAGTACGATTATTGTGTTAATTTAGTAGTTTGTAAAAATTATTACTTTTAAGTTTAAAACTTATAAGTATAGGTATTTATAAATTATTATGAATTACCAAGAATTCGGTATACATCCTATAGTATGTCATAATTTGTACTTTGCGAAAGTCGCTATTGATAATAAAAAACAGCACTTAATTGCACAACATTAAAATGGCTAATACGTGATAGTATTAATATTATTTAAGATTTGATTTGTTGTCTATATAGCGGTATTAAGTGTGGACCATTATTTATCCTGAAAATATTTGGCCTATTAAGAAAATGTCTATAAAATATTTTAATATATCGAATTCAAGTTATGATATGATATACTAATCTATATTTTATACTAACGACAACAATGATAATAATAGTACTTATAATTTATATTGTGCAATTAACAATAAGATGTAGTCAGTAGTCACATATAGGTACATTAATACATTATACCTACTCATAATGTAAATTAGTTTAATTTTTATGCAGAATATTATAAATTACAGTAAGCTATTTAAATACGTGTTATAATAACGATACTCGATTGGAGTGATTCATATTTTAAAATAACTTAATAATATAAAAAAAAAAATTTATAACTCATATAATATTGATTATATTAAATTATTTTAAGAGCTAACAAATTATAAATTTATATTTTTTTAATGATTAACTATTTAAAATGCTGTTGATGTTTGTTTGACTAAATTAAACTAAACGGGTCTTATAATAAATCAAAGTAGTCAGTAGATAGACACTTATTAGTTATTACTTATTAAAAAATAAATTGAGTTAAATTCTATAATATATTATTTTTTCGTTTACAAATATACAACATGGGTTAAAACAACGATTGGAGTTTAATAAAGAGTAGCATGATAAGCTATATCCCCACTTCTTATTTTAGAATCTCTGGATTTTCCCTACAATAAAATAAATGATTTATCCACAATTGGCCTTATTATCATCTATGACAGCGTTTCTCAACCTTTTCACTGTGGCGACCCCCTTTTTGAATTTCGATTTTTTAGCAACTCCCTACATATATTTTTTATATACTCGCATAGATTATTATTAATTACCATAATAGTACTATACAAAATACAGTGTTTTATATTTATTAATTTTGTTTTTTTCATTATTTTATTTTATTGTTTGAGCTTTTAAATTTTTGTATTTTTGTATTTGAATCATAGGTTTAGCGACCCTAATTAATAAGTTGACGACCCCTAAGGGAGTCGCGACCCCCTGGTTGAGAAACACTGATCTATGACACATTTGCACGTTACAAATCTTAACGTCACCATTGTGATTGTGAGCTGTGGTAATATAATTAATCAGTTATTGTAAGTTATGGTTATAAAACTACAGTATGTCGGTATTCAATCATTTTTAATAAATAAATAAATGATAATTTTTATTTTTTTAAATAAAATGGACAAAGCCTTTACGTATTTGCACAGTGCTGTATTAAAATTTTTGTATATGTTTAAATACCTACTTATATGAAAAATGACAAAAAATATGCACTATCATTAACCATACGTCATATAGTTACCACAAAAAAAGTATATCGTTATATACTTATATATATATATATATGTATATATACATCTTGACTTCCTAAATAAGTTTATGTGTCGTCAATTTTTTATATTTATACTACATGTATTTGGTAGAAAACATCTGAGGCACCTGAGAATGTTGGTGTTACAATTGCCTGTCGTCCAGGGTTTCGTATACATGGTGCTGCTTGTCATGTGGGCCGAAGAAGAGGTAATATATCCAATATCCCAATTTTATACCTATATTAAATATTAATAGAATGCATGTATAATATACATATTATTTCTTAGAACTATATGTCTATATAATATAACGTACTTAAGTAGAATTACGAAATGTGCCGAGTATAATGGCTATAATGTATAATATGCGCTTTGGCACTGCACCTTGAAAATCTATACATAATATTTTTCAAATCAGAAAAATAATATTGTTTTTATGTTATTCAATATGTCTTAGTCAGTTAGCAGTTCATAAAATCTACAACTTTTCTTGAAAAGATAGATTTCACGAAGTAGTTATACGGAATATACATAAGTCGTATCTATTATATTTAATTAGAATTTAAATGAATATCTAGTGAAACTATAAAAGTACCTATGCACCGAATCGTTAGGTACCTAATTAAATACATTTTGGTAAATCTATAGTTATTTTTTTACCAAACAATAAAATGATACAATTAATAATCATCATTTATCTATTAATTAGTTGAGCATTTCAATATTAAATGTATTATGCCCTAAAATTAGAACTTTAGATACATTGAAAGTTAAGTAGAATTTAATCAGTAATCCCAGTTTGAATAATTAGGTAGGTAACCTATTTAAAATAAATTTGATTGATGTAGACGAAGTCATTGATGAATGATGATTGGTGGATTAAATAATTTGAATCCTGTACCTATTATAAATTTGAAAAAAAAGTTGTGAAATATCTATATTTATTAATCTCAACAACCAAAGCGATCTTCTAAAGAAATTAAATAATTCTTTAAATCTTTAAATATATATTCCTATAATCCTATGGTTTATATGTTTAATATTATAGTCAAGAGCACGTCCTAAATCTGAAGTCTAATTTTTCCTATATACTAGCGCATATTATATAAATTTACATATTATATACACGTTACAAACCGTAGTCAAATAACATATTGTTATTGTATATATAAGCGTATTGTTTTTTGTTAATATTTAATATATTATGTAACAGAGCTTGTACCAAGTAAACTACATGTACATGCAACCGTTCATCGTGATATCCATCATATGTGGCATGTGGGGCATTTCGATGACCATGCGAGTGCTCGGAGAGATACTCAAGGATCATGGCATCCAAGGGAAATTTGTGGTTCTCCAACTGGTGCTAGTATTAGCTAAGCTACAGGGACTGGCGTTTAGAGGGATAGTATGGGCAGAATGGTTACCCTGCAAGCCGCCAATTTCACCCACCGTCTACGCGAATCGTACGTACTCTACATTACCACTAAGAGTATACTTATAATCTAACCTAACATACTCAACGATACATTGATACTATTATGACATATTTTGATTTGTTTTTATCCGGTTCTACCTATACTTTATCCAGCATGAAAACACGCCATGGCCCGACGAAAATCGGTTATTCTATGCGCATTCCTTCGTGACACGTCCTGTTATAGATCAATTGGTATCGATGGTAGGGTGTCATGCGGGTAAGCGCAGAATTGACATGTTCTCTCGTTAGCAGAGTAGGACGAGTAGGTATACACACAACAAACGATAAAACTTCTGCAGAACATTTTTCTGAATACATATTTCTATGTTTTAGTATTGATTGTCATTCGATTAAAATAATTTCTTATACTTGATAAATTATAAGCATATTAACTTTTTACTCAGTTTAAACGGTCAAAGTAGTACCAAGCAAATTAACAACTTTGAAGTTCGCTGTTAAGAATATATGTGCAGATATATTTTTGCCACTTAACTCGATTATTGGTCTAATGCTTGCCTATATGCTAATGAAAAACTGCTGTTTCAATAATTCATGACGTGTAATAAACGTAGTTTTCAGAACATGGAATGAATTCCATTTCATTAATTTGAAAAAGTAAAAGTCGAGAGGTATTATATCAATTCACTCATCCGTATCCGCCGATCGTCACGCTTTTAACTATGATGTTATATAGGTATTTACGATTTATGTACGAGCAGTATTATACTGGTCGAAGATATAGCTAGTATAAGTATGTTGTTATGTATACTGCTGTTGCAATGATATAATTACCTATATAAAACAAGTAAAAATCACAATTACCTAATTACTTTATCTATAGGTTCGATAAACATATAATTTTTCGCCCAAAAACACTGCGAACATTGGTCGTTGACCACGGCTTGACTTAATAATATAATTACCTATGTTCACAGTGATATATAACTCAACCATGTTATGGGAAATGTTGGTGTTGGCTGCTTTGGCCAGAAAGCTCTACAAGAAGCCATTGCCGGATCAGTGTTTCGTCGACCCCCCGAAGATCACGTGTTGCGTGGATCTGCCCAGTAATCAGGAAAACAACAACATCATAACCGGCACGTACAATCAGTGTTTCGACATGAACGTTTAAAAGATATATGGCCATTACACGAGTTAATACGATAAGCGCGGTGGCTGTCGAGGGCGTTTCTTTGGTTTTTGACGACGATGACACACGCGTACATGTATATAATGTATATATAACGGTATACATATATATATAATATATATATACAATGTATATAATGAATAGATGTGTGTCATTTAATTTCAACAGTTTACGCGGCTGATAGAACGTGATTGTGCCCATCAAATATTTGAATGTCACTAAATAATAGGTAAACGTTCATGTACCGCTGCCTTAAAAATATTTATTAAAAATATTAGTATTTGCACTTCTTATTGAAAAATAACGGTCTGTCCCTCCCAACCGGCAACATGGTACCTAGCCACCTAGGTACTATGTGAAAATTCAAAATTTGCATCCCATGTCTATAATAGTACATTAGATACGCTAATTTTTCAACGTTTTAAATGGGCTTATAATAGTGTACCTACTAATTTGTAAGTGTATTAGTGTATGAGCAGATCTGATTTTTGCGGTATTGTCGAAAAGCCAGATCACACAACATTGCATTATATTATAATCAGTACCTGACGATTATAAACGCATTTTTATACCCATTGTACATTTTTATTTTTTTTTTTTAATTATATTTTTACGAAACGTTTTTTACTATATATTTATTTTCTATTATACTTTTATTAATATTATTTTTACATAATAAATAAGCTTTAAAAATATTTATACAATTTTTTTTTAAATTTTGGATTTGATTGTTATACGTTATTAAATTCTTTCCAATACCTTGGTTCGTATAACGTATAAAAAGATAACCTCGGATATGAATCGATTTTCATTTCCAACGATAATAATCACAAATGACGAATAAATATGTTTCCATATTATAGCTAAATGGAAAGTATTGTACTGGTTTATTTATTTATTTTAATTCTTAATCACCAACTCTTTCATCTGAGCACTCGGGTAAGCTTAGAATGTGGTTAACCGAAACTAAAATATTTAAAATTATAATAAATTTATTATTTAAAGAGAATAAATATTTTGACGCATTTTCGTAAAAATAACGGTATAATAGATAGTTGCTTGTAAAATTTTAATGTAATCTTCTATCATTATAAAATATAAACAATAATTTGCTATAACTTTCATATTATAGTTTCAAGTGTAATCGGTGTATAAAGTGAATCTTCTTCTTTTAAGGCATTTTAAAAACTATTAAGGTCTATCGCCGCAGCAACAACCTCCCTACAACTCTCTGTTCATTGACCTTTCTTCCGCGTTCTCTATCCCAATCATTCTAAGGTCTTTCATGATTTTATCAGCACACTATTGTCTGGATCGTCTTTTGTTTGGTTTACTTTTCATTATGTTCCACATGGTTGGTAAGACTCCTTCAGATCTCCAAACTTGACCAGCCCATATTATCTTATTACTCTTCATGACTCCTATGATATTGGCTTCTTAAAATAATCTTCTCAATTCTTCATTTATTCTTATTTTAAATTCATCTTCTTAATTTTTTTTGGTTCAAAAATTTTCCTAAGTAATTTTCTTTTAAAAACATCTGTTTGTTTTTATATGTTTTGGTGATTGCCCACATATCACGTACGTATGCTATAGAATATAGATCTAATTAAAACTTTGTACAATGTTATTTTTGATCTTTATGAAAGTTGTTTTGATTTAAATAGTGTTGATAGACCAGAGTAGCATTTGTTTGCTATTCTCAATTTAATGTTAAAAAATTGTAAGAACATTAGGATAGGTCTAAAAACAATAACAGTACACACATTTTTAGGTGATTTGCTTTTATTAAAAAAATAATAACAAGAGCAAATCAAAAACTAAAATTACTAATACTTTATGGATCTATAATACTGAAATTTGTGATGAGTGATGAGTTTAATTAAAAAAAATCTATAAGTTAAACAATAACTAGAAATTGTAAGAGCTTATATGGATATTTATTTAATTTATAACCATATATTACTATAAATACTTTAGTTATGATTATTGATTTTAAAAAATCTAAAATATTTTTGATAATTAATTAACTTATTATTGCCTATTTTATGATAAAAATTAAGATAAAAAATTATTTAATGAACACAATAAAATATTAGTTAAGTTAATATCAAAACTATTTTAAGAATATACTTCAAAAGTTAAAACACTAAATTATTATATTTAATTGAATAATAAATATTACATTAATATTAATTAATTATAAAAGCTTAGGTATTATTGCATTTATGGTTATATATTTGAATAATAATTTCAATAAGAGCTGGATTAATTCCAATTAATTGTTAGATTAATAATATTATAAAACACTAATGCAGCAATAAATATAAAAAAAAAGTCAGCAAATTGTATTCTTGATCTTGTTAAAGACATCAACAACTTAAATAATTAATATTTTGATATAAAACATTAAATACAACACATAATATTATATAAAGGATCCTTAATAACATTAAAATAGAATAATATTTGATTATATATTGAAACTGAATATAAAACTATTGTAATTAAATTTTTTTTTATTTTTATTTTTTAAGTTTTAATATTTTAGCATATTGTTATTACAAGTGAAAAGACAAATAATTATTTTCATATTTAAAGATATACAAGAGAATGATCAATTTTTTCTTCTAATGTAACTAGTATAATCAATTTTTCTATAAATTTTTAAACATCCAAAAAATGCAGAAATTGTAACTTTTTTTTATATTTATATAAAATATTATTAAATTAAATTAATGTCATTTAAATTTATAGTTCAGCATAAGTAAAATCAAATTTTTAATTAACATTTTATTTCTACACTAAAATTAATTTATAATTTAGTAAATAAGTATCTACAATGTGTTAAAATAATTTCAACTTTTCCAAAAAGAAAACCTAAATTCTTTAGGCTTTTTCATTTTCTTTATGGGCTGATTCGTCAACTAAATTGTGAGTTGATACAATATTAGTTTCTAAATTATCTAATATTGTGGATTCACAAACAACATTAGTAATTTCATTTTTTTTTGTTTCCATAGCATCCACAGCTTTTTCAACACCCGATTCCACTAAATTATCAATTAATGATTGTTTTCGGTTGTTTCGATCAATGATTTTTTCTACATTACTATTATTTACTGAATACTCATCAACCATAGTCTTAATTTTAGCATTTATATGCGAATATTCATCAATTATTGTTTCTAACTTGAGGTTTCCTTTAGAATATTCACCAATAACTGATTGAATATCAATATTATTTTGAGAATATTCACCAATCAATGTCATTATATCAGAATTCCTTTTTGCATATTCATTAACTACTGCTTTAAGATCTACATTACTTTTTGGACATTGGTTAATCATTGAATCAAAGTTAGTACTTTTTTGGGTATATTTTCCAGTAGCAGTTTTCACTTCACTATTTGTTTCATTCTGCTTAACAATACTATCATCAACGCCATTATAATCCACTGAGTAACTATTAATAGTCAATTCAATATCAGAATTTTTCTGTGCACATTTATTCATTGTGTTTTCCATGTCATCATTTCGTTTAGAACATTTATTTATCTCATCTTCCAAATCAGAGTTTTTTTTAGAATATTCATTAATAGTTACCTCTAAATCAGTATTTTTCTGTGTGTACTCACTTAACACTTTTTCAAAATCTGTACTTTTTTGTGAGTCATCATCAGTCGATTCTTGGGTATTATTTTTGTTTGTAGGTTCATTTGAATCATCAAAATTATCTCTGTTTATTTTGATTACATTATCCTTCTGTAAATTATTTGTCTCTTGAAGTTTAACATCAGTGTTCTGAATAGTTTGACAATCTCTTAATGATGCTTTAACAGTTTCATTAGAGTTTTTCTCTAGTGTATTAACATTTGATTGCTCTCCATCATTTTTGAAATAAACATTTTGTAATTTTTCTTCCAATTTTGATTTTATTGTTTCTTCAGGTTTATTCTTTTCAGTTTCTGCAGCTTTCAATTTTGCTCTATCTGCCAACATCTATAAAAAAAAAAAGTAATTTATCTAATTAAAACTACATACAATCAATTTTTTATTATTGTTAATTAGTTAAGATTTATTTTACTTTCTGTTGATGTAAAAGCATACGACGTCTCATATTAGTACACAACTTGCTAGTTTTAACTACATCTTTAACATCTTCTCTTTCTTCATAACGTTCATTCCAATTCTTGTTTTCATTGTTTTTTTCTTCGATTAATTCGCTTTTAATAGCTTCTTCAATTTGTGTATTGTTATCTTTTTTACTAGGACCAAGTAGAGCACGTATAGCCTTTGCTTTCATTTCTAATTCTAAAATCTCCAACAATGTTTTTCCTTCTTTTTCCTTTGATTTCTCTTGTTCAGTCTTACTATCTGTTTCAATTTTTTTCTTTTTTGAAGATTTCGTCCGTTTTTCTTTGTGATATCTCTTTTGGCCAATTGCATCTTTTTTTTCTGCTTCTAATTTATTTTGCTTCTTATCACCATCAAAAGAATCATCAGAGTCTGATGAAGAATTCATTTCTTTCCCTAAAAGAAACATTAAATTATAAAATAAATATCATACACAATGAATTTTTTATTAGTTGTTATCTTTTAATAAGATTTAAATTTGGGAAAAAATCCAACTTGTAAAATAAATATTTACTGACAAGTTTAAAAGTCCTAGTTGGCAGTTTACGAGAAATAGCAAAAATCCAATTCAAAATCTTTTTATGCAAGACTCAAAATATTTTAAAGTTAAGTATTCAGATCTCAGAGACCAAAACAAAGAATAGACACTTATGACATTGGCTGCCACAAGATATATTCCAATCAGATAACAACTGTTATTAGCATAATAATTTTACTTTATATATTATTTAATCTTATATTTTTTGACACTTTATTCTCACCTTAAATTATTAATATTATATATTATTAAGCAAATATTGTTTTACTCTAAGAATTTTTATATTTTATACCTGACTCAGTAAATATTATGCAGACATTATAACAAGTTATACAAAAAACCCATAAAAAATAGCAACATTTTTAATTTCTTTTTCTGTAAAAACATTATTTGGACATTTAAAAAAAAAAATCAGTTCAATCAATTCATTTTTATTTACATAAATCAATATTCATTAAAATTATTAAACTTACAATAAAATACTAAATGTGTATAAAAGTTAAATGTATATTGAATATAATTTACCTTCCAATGTAGCCAACACTCGCTTGTTTGACATGCTCAATAACTGAATTAAACAATCAGCTTTCAACTCTTCAAATGTCATATCCTAAGAAGAATTAAGTTATGTTAAAACTTATAATGTTATAAATGTTAATTAAGTAATACCGTACCTTAAGTTCTGGTGGTATAAGTCGAGCAAGTCTTTTACCACGTACAATAGAAAACAATTGATGAATTAACTGTTCAGGGTCATTGACATAATGACTGAGAGGAAATAAGTTAGCAGGCGATGAGCACATTGACTCCTCATCGGTACTAGAGTCATTACCCAACTAAACATAGTGCAATAAAAGTATGTAGGTACAATTCAAAAGATAATTTATATTTTAATTTTAGTTAGAAATCTTTTTATTTAATATGAGTATTATAAAATATAAAGCTTAAAAAAGCAAAATATGAATAATATGTAACTAGAATATTTTTAACTAAATAAAATTATCTGTAAAAAATATTATTGCTTTGATAAAACAAATTATGTTTTATTACAAATATTTTACAACAAATATATTTTAACAGTAAAATTACATGTTAAATAGATGAGGATAATTGTTAACATATTGTTAACCTTATGCGAATATGAATAAGGTAAAACATATACATAAACGCTAATATTATACCTAATACACACAAAAGGCAAATTAAAAATATTATAATATTCTAATTTATTATAATAACAAATAGGTTGTTTACATCGTTTTTGATCGCTCTATATAGATTGGCTTTTTTTCGTTGATCGTTCAGATGAAAGTCAATAGTCCTCTTCATGGCCATGTCTGAGAAATGGTGTTCATAAGTAATAATAATAATAATAATTACTCGTTACCACAGTACGACGTCGAAACAACTTCGGGGTGATATCACTGATACCGTCAAACACGGGAAACAACTAATAAGAAAGAGGAAATGCTAAGGAAGTTTGTAAGTAGACGAGTACTTACACTAATACGTGGTTACTCTTACGGTGTAATCTTTGGTTTTTGTAATTTTGAATTGAAACGAACACGACGACCAATAGTTGTGATAAACAATGAACTTTAACAAAATGTCAATAATTACGAATCCGCGAAAACTAGACTAAAGAAAGTAGGAACACAAACCCATTCCTGCTGTTAAACTTAATAGAAAAAGTGAAAACTCAAAACACTTTATTAGGCCTCCATAGGCCAAATGCCCAAATAATAATGAAAACATTGAAAATTGAAAAGTCCGGATCGTAAAAAGTCGTGTACAGATTGCGCTACGGTCGCATCAGTTACTCGTGAAGTATTGGAATTCTAATTTCTAATATTATTTATGTTTTTTACCAATTTTTTTGATTATAAATATTATAATAAACTCAATAGACAATTCTTTGTTAAATTAAAGTTCAATCATTTAAAATTTTGTAACTTGTAAAATTACGCATTGATGTGCATGATGACAACAAACTTCATCCATGCAATAAATTGTATTAAGATTTAAGAGAATCCACATCGACCCATCAGCATGTGTTATCTACACAATCAACTTTATACATTCATAATAATCTATTTTACTCTGATATTTTTAAAATTCAAGTTAATTGAACTATTGTGAAATTAAAAAATAAGAGTATTATCTAGGGCATTTTAAAAACTTTTATTTTAAAATGTACAAAATATTTTAAATAATAATCTTACTTTAATTCACTATAATATCATTAATTAGATATTGTGAATGTAAAATTTGTTGTTGTACATTTTTTAGATCGAGACGACACATGCGGGTGTGGTAACCTCTTAATAATAACGATTAACTTATAAATTATAAACATTTAAATTTAATACTTTATTTGCTATAACTTGACACTAATGATACTTATCACCATTTATAATTTATCGGTATTAACATTGTGCAAGGTATATATGTAAAGATGATTGGAGGATTTATCCAACATCCAGTCGTGAATCATGGTAAATTGAATCTATTTCGTCTACCATTAGTTGCTTCCTATACTAAAGCTCGAAATTAGAATTAGAAAAATGAGAGAACAATAAAAGGCTGTCCAAGCTAAAAAAAATAATTGTGTCCTTTACATTGATTGAAGTCAACCTAACTCGTAAAGACTGAAGACCACTCAATCATTTTATTTTTATTGATCTTAAATAGGTACATCGATCACTTGGTCATTGCTCATTATAATATAATACATTTAAATTTGTACCAAGGGAATCATTTAAAAAAAACATTTTGTATCCTTTGGCGATTGAATATTTATATATTTAATGAGAACATGATATGAATAAATCATTAACAAAACACTAAAAAGTTTTTTGATATTTTTATTTATAAGTTATACAACTAGGCGGACATGGGTACATAATATGAATATTATTACTATAGTAATATAATATAATCAGTAATATGCAATCATGTAGATGAAATATAATATCAAAGATTTTGTTTAGACAATTTAGTGGCCCATGTGAATACTCTGCAGAACAATATACTGCCCTCTATTCTGCATTGCTATTAGAATAGATGATAAATAATATGCATTAAATAAAACTATGACTATAAATATAGGTAAAAATGGTATATTTTGTATAAAATAAATTTAAACTTCTGTGTTAAAAAAAAATAGTCACTCTCATCATGAAATTGAATTGGAGTTTCATCTACTTGATTTAATTTTCAGTACTGCACAGTTGAAATTTTGGAGTATTACTATTAACCTTAATTCTTCTGTGAGTTTGAATGCAGTAAGATCAGTAATATTATTAAATAAATATTAGATATATGTCATATTATAAGTACTAATAATAGTAATGATAATCACCAAAATTTGGTAGGAAGAATAAATGTTACTTATGTGTACGAGGAGCACCTTATGAGTAAGTAATAAAAAATAATGCTAATTCTAATTCAGAATATTTGCACACAATATGATTACGGTAAAATGCAGCCAGACACAATTCATTGTCACCGTGCAGCAGTTTTACTTTGACCTTATAACCTTATAATTTAATAGTTCAGAAAGAAGTTTTTAGCTGGGTGTCCAGCTGGTGGGTAAACTACAGCCGTTGGGAAACAATGGAACACTGCTGCTATCATTGGCTCTAATGGTAGATTGATAAGATGGATCCAACGATTCGTTGTCTTCAGTGGGAATTTGCAGTGAAGTGGATGATGTTGATGGATTTATCGTAGTCTCTATTTCATTACAACAAATGTTATTTGCATCACTGTTGTCGTTGACATCAACATCACCACCATCGCCAATAGTTGCCGAGCACTTGTGATTCTTCATGCTCTTGTAAAATGAAAACGTCCTGAAGCACTCAGTGCACGTGTACCGTTTCTCACCTGTGTGTGTCCTGATGTGTTCAGACAGCCCATCTCGCCGGGCAAACGCCTTGACACACAAATGGCACTGAAATGGTTTTTCGCCTGAATGAGTGCGCGAGTGCTGGACCAGCTGGTACCGAGCCAGGAAAGCCTTGTTACATACCTCGCACACATAATCCTTGGACGCGAAGTGTATTTTCTGGTGATCAACCAACCGTACCTTGATCTTGAATGTTTTGCCGCACACATCGCATACAAACGGCTTGTCTGAGTTGTGCGTCTGCCTGTGTATGTATATGGAACTGTGGCTGGATCCGGTATAACCGCATACGTTACACTTGAATAACGCCTCTTGCTGGTGGGTGCGCTTGTGTGATGTGAGTCCCAGCTTGGACGCGTACGAGTTGCCACACAGGTCGCACACGAACGGCTTTTCACCGGTGTGTATACGCATGTGTGACACAAGTGCCGCATTGCTGGCAGTCGTCAGACCGCAGTGCGAGCAAGCAAACACGCCACTGTGCTTGCGCATGTGCGTGCGCAACGTATGCTTGGACTTGCACCGTACATTGCACACATCGCAACTGAACGCCTTTTCGGCGTGGAATGCGTTTTGGTGGATCTGCAGCCGGCTGTCTGTCAGGAACAGTTTGCCACATGTAGGGCAGCTAAACTCTTTGGGCATGTCGTCGTGGGTGGTACGGTCGTGATTGAACAGGTCACAGAATCGGGAATAGGTGACATTGCAGAATTCGCACGTGTATGTCTTTGACTGAAACCGCCTGTAGTGCTCTCGATACTTTGCTCGCTTGTCTTCAAGTGTCTTGAGCTTTTTGATTTTACGTTTGGTAGTGATTGCGTACTTGTTATCCTTGTATTCGCCACTAACAGTATCATTGTCCATAGTTTTGCCACATAATTCCTCCCCTTGGTTTAGGATGGTTGACTCATCAGAACATTCCTAAACAAAATACATTGGTTAAATATTTTAATTGGATGCTTAAAATAGCATAGTTTCTAAAATTTAAAAATATTTACTTTTTTTGATTCATTAACTATGACAGATGCAGCATGATGTTCAGTTGATGCATGCAAGTAAAGACTGTATGTGTCAAGGAATCCCACTTGACAAAATGAACACAAATGAGGCATAAGGTCTTTCTTCAATGCATGGTTTCTGAGATGACGATAAAGACTGGTCGACCGGCTAAATTTACAAGTACAAAGTCCACAACCAATTGTAAAGTCTTTGAGTTTATTCTGAAAACATACAATTTCATTTTTAAGTAAAAGCTATATTTTGTACATTTTGAATTTATGGATAAAATCTAAAAATAAGATTATATATTGTTTATCAAATAAAACTTCAAAAAGTTTACTGAACAATCAAATAAACATATTTTTCAAGTCATATGTACCTGAATTTGAATGGATCCATGAATATCTTGTTCAGTAGTCAAATGATTTTGATAAATTGTGTAATTACAATATCCTTTATTGCAAATCATACAATAATGTGGAGTATTATTTTCTTCTAGTTTATGAAAATCTTTTAAGTGGTTGTATAATGTTTCTTTTTCAGTGAAATCTATAGAACACATTCCACACTCGTAACTTTTTTTCTTATTAGATGTTTTAGTATTTGCCATTTCAAAAGTCTTTACTTCTTTTTTACCAGCTCTCAAGTAAACTTCCCGTGTCTGAAAAAATAAATCATTATTAAAAACCATGAAATAATAACTAGCAACAACTGCATTACTATTGGTGAAATGGGTGACTTAGATTTTAATGAATCATTATCAGAGTCTTGATTGTTAAATTCGTTGTTTAAGGTACTATCATGAATATTTTCTAGTTCATCTATTTTTAATTGATCTTTAAGTTTAATAGAATTGTCTACAGTCAAATTTAGTTTCTCTTCTTCCAACTGCTTGATGTAGTTTTGAATGCATTCATTTGAAGAGATACATTTCTGTTTGAATTCTTCCCAATTCTCTAAATTAGTCAGACAATTAACGCACATATTGGCTGGCCCCAGATCACACTGTTGTATCTAAGATTGAGAATATTTAATTCATTTAATTTACTTTATTGCAAATGGTTTATAGTTCTATATTATATTTACTTACTAATATTCCTACACACGACTTGATACGGTAAGAAAAATCACAATCTAAAATTGGACGTAGTTCAGGACCTTTGTGCAGGCAAAGTCTACAGAGTACATTTAAGTCTAAGTCAAATTTGTTCTTCATTTTGAAAAAAAAAAAGATCAAAAATACGGATCACGACTTTTCAGGATATAAATATTATTTTTTTTCTTTTGTTGATTAGTATAACATTTTAAAGTTTAGAGGAAAAATATTGTGTGAAATGTGAATTAATAATAATTATGAAAAATATTAAGATACTTCGTTGTGTTATCATTTACAGTAGTTGTTTATTTAATCAAATAGTGATAATATTTTCTCTTATTAATTTCTTTTCGAAGACAACGACAATCATAGACCTTATACCAGTAATATGGTTAGAAAAAAATCGTATATAGTAGATAGTTCAACCATAGATTGTGTTGTGGTTACAGTATTATCTATTCAGCGATTGTGATAATTCAAGTTAACAAAACGGTTTAAGATGATATAGTGATAGTGATATACTGAAAGCTGTATGCCTGACGCCGCCTGTATCTTAGATCTTAGAATTGATTATAAATAGTATTTATAATCAATGATATTAGCTAACACTGTTAACAGAATAACGACAGTTTTAATTAAAATTTAAAATATTTGTACATTTGTATAGATATTTTATGTAACTAAATAATGAATATTCTGTAATAATAATTGTATTGAGTGGATCACCCTAGTTTAATTCAAGAAAAGTACACGTGTAATATTATAATTATCAAAATAGTAGTAATTTTCATTTAATAATTTTATCAGGTACCTATGTGCTATATATTAAAATTAAAATATTTTAAAATATTTTCCAGGTAAATGCTGCCAAGAAAATAAGTAACTTTTCTATAGTTATTTTTCTTATCAAAGGAAAATATTATTTTTGGACGTCTTTTTTGTTACCATCAAATATGATTAGATTTCAATTAGTCAGCATTTTATTGATAAATGTATAATTTTAGTGAAACGTTGTTTAAAACAATTATTATTTATCTTTGTTGATTGTGATTAGGATTTGAAGTTTATAAAAATAATAAAAAACATTGGTGAGGTTCTTTATAGAGATTTTAAAACATTTAGATTAGTTTAAGAATTCATTAACAAGAAATTTTAACAATATGTTTGTCACTTAGGTATTTATCTGATAATTCTTAAAATAAATTTCCGAAAAATTCTTTAAATGCGATTTGATTAAAACTTGAAATTTATTGAAATTTAGAATTTACATACTGATATTGACTTAATACTCACAGTGTATTTAATTTATCTGACTTAATATTCAAATGCAATTTGAATGTAAAATAGTCATAAATTCATGATACATTGTGTATAATATATTATTTTCATGTTTATTTTTTTTGTTTTACATCGAAATTAATTGGTGCCTAAATGGGCTAAATGAAGTAACGTCAAGATTGCATAAGTCATAATATCACATGCGCCTAATAATTTGTTATATACCCGAATATTCAAGTTCATTCGACGCGCATCAAATTGATATATAACCGTACTTTTAAATAAAAAAATTCTAAACATTAAAATTTTAACAAATTAATTTTGAAATGAAGAAATTGGATGACCATTAATAGTGATTCACTCTGTATACAATTATTACTGATATATTTTATTATTAAACCGCGAGAGAAATTTTTTCATAAAATTCGATTTAATTTACTATGAATTTGTGTTTGTACATAATTCTGAAAGAGAATTTTATTATAGGTACCCTATATTTTTGATTTTAACTAATATTTTATAGCCAATATAAAAGTACATATGATATATTATTTATAATATACATATATTTAATATATATACACAATGTAACTAGGTTACTAGGTACCCAACTATTTAAAACTGAACTTTTTTTGTACGTTATTTGAATATTGCTAGTTAAGAGGACGTTGTATCCATATGTGGTTGTCTCTATCTTACTAATGTATAATATACCAAAATGTTCATTCAACAATAACTACCAATTTTTTGAGGTTATTGATTAGCTTATTATCAAATCTAAAGGTAAGAGCATGATCTGTATTCCTTCTTTGGTTTTTATAATATTTTTACTTTAAAGTCTATCAAGAGTATAAATTTAAAAATGTTTATAACTCATTTCAAAATTAAAATATTGTAAAAATTCGACGAGAGAATATAGTTAATGTTCTTATTAAGTTTGGTAATAGATCAATTCACAATTATATTAAAGGTAACCAAACAGAAATGGAACTGTTAAACGTAAATTTTGGTGTGTTTTATGTTAGTTAATCACTAAAATGAAGATAACACTTGCGTATATGATGTCCTTTTTCAAGTTATTACGTAATATTGTATAAATTGTGTTAAACAAGTGCATAAATTATTATTGAATGTTTGACCCGAAACCCGATTGACCAGCGAGACAAAACTGCTGATAACTGATAACAACACAATTTATTATTTATTATAAGTTATAACACATAACTATTATAATATTTATAATATTATGTTTATTATAATGATTACCTAATGAATATCTATATCCGCCGGAATTATGTGTTATATTACATCAATTTCTATTGAATTTTCAGATAAAAATAGATTATGCAATAGTTAATATATTCTATAATGTACTTAATTTGTATAATTTATCAAGAAATTTACCATGTAGGTATAAATCATATAGCAGTATATGATTATCATATACTATTATAGTATTATATACCTATACTGGATGATACTTTTACAGAAAATAATTATTATCAATATTATCTCTAAAACTATTAACGTCATTAAAAATATTTCTTTTTACATTATTTAAAGTCATTATGAAACATATTTTTTGTATAAAAATAATACTTTTTATTATTTTTTCGGTTATTTTTTTTTTTTAATTTTATTTTTTTGACTGAAACATACATTTTTGATTTCATATTTCTAAATACAAAATGTTTCTGACATACATAAAATCGAATTTTGAATAAACAATTTATTAGTTGAAAGTATTTAAAGTGTATAAGTAACAAGTACCTGTATAAAAGTGGAATAATAGGTATATACATTTTTGAATACATTTGGTTTCTGTAGGAACAAATTTCGAGGAATATTGTATTAAATCTTTAAAACTCAACTATAAAATAAATTTCATATTTCATGATTTTTTTAAAATTTTTAACTAAACATGCAATATAAGTTTTATTCTTTTTAATTTTTTTAAAAAAAACCATGAGGAACTTTGTGTTAAATTTAAAGTTTTTATTCATAAAAAAAAACCTTTAAAATATATAAATAAATAAAAAAGTGGACATGAGGGTATTGTTTTGTTATACGGTAGGTGTTATTATGTTGAGTAATTGTGATGGATTTGGTTAAAATTTTTAATTAAATTAGAATTCAATGATATATCATTGTACACAAAAAAACGATTCTAAGCGGAGGCGATACATCAGCCTATATTACTATATAGTAAATAATATAGTTATTTCATGTTATTTTTTTTTCTTGATATTGTTATTACGTATTGGTTAAAGTAATTTAATTTACTATAAGAAATTACAATAGGTTTAATTAATTTTTACCAAAACATTACGTTTGAAAATTTTTTTTGTGTATAAAATATAGTGATATACATACGAGTTTTATATCCTCACGAATTACAATTTTAAACTAAAATAAAACAACTATTATTCATAGTTTAAATATGTACTTTTGTCCAAATTTGAACTTAAAATGTCTATAAAAAAAATTGTTTTTAAATTTTTTGTTTTCAATACGAACTACTTCTGAGAAATTTTGTATAAGATTTTTAAGCTTTACCTATAAAAACTGTATATTTTTATATTTTTAGTTGCAAAAGAATTACAAATTTTTGTGATTTTTTCATAATGTATTAAGTATTTCATAAGAATTTGAATTTGAAATGCTCTTAGAAAATTAATGACTTTTCAGTTTGAAATTTTTTATTTTTAACACTTTGTTAATAGTTTTGATGTAAGTATAAATTTTTTGTGTCTATCAAAAACAAATTATAATTAAAAACATTAAAAATATTATTTTTATTTAAAAAAATACTATTATTATACGTAAAGTTTAGTTCAATAAAAAATATTATTTATAAACGAACACACGAGCAAAACATTGTAGTTTTTCTTACAAGTTTGAAATAAAATTATTATTTAGTAATTAACTTCTGCTTATATGCTAAAAAAATTAATTTATATTATTCTTTTTTCATATTTAACTGCATTTTTAAGTGTTTATTTGAGCATTTCTAGGGAGATAGTTGCATACATCATATTATTTAAGCACTTTTTAAGTGCACCAACTAACGAACCTCGACACCAACATAATACTTAGGTATATGACTTGTTGCACGCTACCATATAGGTACTCTTTTATTCCTCTCAATATCAACCCTTGGCCTTTGTCATCACTAAATCATGAGCTTACACGTATATATAAAATATGGGTAAATCAATTTGCTACTGAGTGTATAAATACTGATGGTGTATTGCGGTCTGCGTCATCGTAATTTATAAATATAGAAATTAGTAGGTGTATAAATTATAATATTATATATTTTGCTGATTATTAATTTATAAAAAACACGGCCAGGTGGCGTTCGTTGAGTGCATGTACATCACGTAATTTATTATTTATACATTTATAGGTATATTATATTTGATGTGTAATAGCAAGTTTTTTCTTTATACGATATTTTCATACATTACGGACGTAGTAGGCCAGATAACTGTATGAATATTGAATAGTCGTATCACGTATGCAAACAATCTACGTTTAGGACATAAAGTTCTAGTGTGATTAGATAAAAACTCTAGTCCTCTAGATGGAATAAAAATAAAAATTTTTTGATTTTTCCACTCGGATTACATAATAATCTAGTACCGTCACAACTTGGATTTATACATATATTTTATAAATACGTATATATTATAACTATAAACTTACGAAAGTGCGTATGGAGTGTATATAAGCATTAGGCTATACGTATACATATAAAGGTATTTAGTAATGTAATATTCAGATAACCTATAACTATTTTTTTTTTATATCTTATTTAATTTTTAATGATCAATATTATTACTATGAGAAAAAAAAACAATTAATTAATTTATATGTGTGAGATACTAAGAATAGTTTACAGAGGTCAGAATTTTCAAGTTTATACTTAAAAGTTAAAACTACTTATTCGGGAACAT